AAAAAAAAAAAAAAAAAAAAGAAAGCTTGACCCTTGTGAGCTTTGTTGTTTCAGGAACTAAAAAATGTTAACTTACGAGCAAAGCACACTTGTAATGACTTTAGAGCCTTACTATAATAGGTTACAATTACACATTTTATAAAACTACAGCTGCTACAGAGAACAAAAGAGCAACTTGCTTTTGAAATTGTGATTTGTAACTCATATCATCAGTATAAATTTGCATAGAAACAATGTGGTTTTCAGACAATGATGACTTGCTATGGTTTTCTTATAGTTTTGTTTTCATATAATATATAAGCATTCAATTTATTTTAAACTTACCAGTGTAACTCTGAATTGACTCTGAGGAGTTTATATTTTGAGCAGTAGATGCCACTGGAAGACAGTTTGTCTTGGCTGAAGCAATTCTTTCTGTTACTGATTTAATCGGCGGACCTTCTTTGATAGGTTGATAGGCAGCGGTGGAAGATTTGCTGGCTGCTAAATTATGCATTATATTTTCCCAGTCATCATCATCATCAAAGTCATCTATGTCAAAATTATCAATATCATAGGAAGCCTGAGTTTCCCTTTCTAAGTCACTTATTGAAGCAGTGTGTTTATTCTGATCTTTCACAGCAGTGCTTGTGAGAACATTTCCTGGGAAATAAGAGCTTTCATTTCTTTTTTGTAGCCTCGGTGTTTCAGCCCAGTTGCTACTTACAAAGGACTCCTGTAAATGGGAATTGAATAAAGGCCTTTCAAAGAGATCCTTCCTGGCTGAGAATCCTGTTTTTCCTGGGGTGGTGGTCAGTAAACATTCCCCAGGGGAAACAGAATCTAAAGAAAGGTGTGAAGAATTTAATTCCTTCATAGAAATTTCCCTTGGGTAAGAATCACCCTCCACAGGGCTACAAAGTGAGTCAGGCCTGCGTCTCCATATCCAGCCAAGAAGACTGGCATCATTTGTGTTGCAATCTGCCTCCGCTAGGAGCTTCCTTCTGCAGAGAGGAAAGAGAACAACATATTAAATGTAAGTAGCAGGCCACAAAAGAACACTTCCAGGTTTCATACTAAACAGAAATTGTAGCAAAATGTATTCTCTTTTTTTCAATCTCAAAAATTTGAATACAAATACTAAACGAGTGTTGAAAAGTAAATAAATTTAAAACACAGTGGCATGACAATCATCCTTATGCAATTTCCAGGCCAGAAAGCCTGGAAACTTTTTATTTTGAATGATGAAAATGCAATCAGATAAGTTCCAGAAGGAGAAAACATCAAGATACCTTATGTTTCGCTGCTGAAGTAGTTCATTCCCACAATCCAAAGCTATCAGTTTATCAGCAGGAATAGTATCAACTAATTTACAGATGCGGTCCATCACCTGAATAAGCTGCTGCTGTAAACTTTTCTGTCCAGCTAGAAAGTAATTACACTGTTAATATTTCTTAGAAAACAAAAAAGACTTAAGATTTTTGGTCATACATGTAAATGTGAAGCAGTGTAAAAACAAGATAATAAACAACTATACATTGTCCTATTATCTGCCTATGAATTAACCTGTAATCAGGTTGTCTCTGCTATATCACAAGAGCACTTAACTATATTCTCAGCTGGGCTCGGTGGCTCAGCCTGCAATCCCACGCCTTTGGGAGGCTGAGGTGAGTGGACTGCCTGAGCCTGCGGGTTCAAGACCCGCCTGGGCAGCGAGACCTCATCTCTACAATAAATCAAAAAAAATCAACCAGGTGTGGTAGCGCATGCCTGTAATTCTGGCTACTGGGAAGGCTGAGGCGGAAGGATCGCCAGAGCCCAGCAGGTCGGGGCTGCGGTGGCCAGGAGTGGACTCCTGGCCACCGCAGTCTGGGCGACAGAGTGAGACTCCAACTCAAAAAAACAAAACAAAACAAAACAAAAACTATATTCTCAGTTAATCTCATAATATTTAATTAGTAATATTTCTCTTTGGGTAACCAACGTCATTGGAAGACACAAAGACATCAATTTGCTATGATTTTTTACTAACTGCATGTTGTTAGGGTTCGGAAAGGAAAATGGATGGAGAGGGAGAAGAGGCACAGGGAGGCGCAGCACTGCTGGGGCCAGCAAGCCGGAGGTGCTGCGCTGGGAACCCAGAGATCCGAGTAAATGCAAAGAATTGCAACACACAGAGGTGAGAGAAGAAAAGATTTATTTAAGAAAAGGTCACCCCTCACAGACAGGGAGTGGGCCTACACTCTAGTTGAGTGTGGCGGCATAGTCTCCCAAGGCCCTGGCTTAAATCTCTTTTCTTAGAGATGTTGCACATGACTGCCATGACTTCTTTATTGACCACCTGTGGATGTCTTGGAGATCCTGTGACCACAGAGACCCACTAATGTCCACCCACATTATTATAGCCCCTGGAGAAGGGTGTGACAAGGATTCTAATTCTCCTGTACCTTCCTGAATGACATTCCTTAGAGCTAATGGACGGTGCACCTCCCTTATCTCCTAGGCATTCCCAGTGGGTAGCTTCGGGGGATCCTTGGCTTCCCTGTAGATAGTGCCCAATCTACTGGAAGATCGAATTCCCACCTGCTCTCCCTCTGAGCAGTCATAACTTTTGTCATGACAAGTTTCATGACTTTTACAATCCTTGCCCAATGCATGATATCTTAGGCCTTGTAAATTCCCTTTACTCTAGGCAAGTTTGATTGCCACTATGAGACACCTCTGATACCTGGAAGTCTGTTTCTGAAAAGACAAAATCGGTAAAATTAATTTTACCTAAAGTGTACATTTCTCCAAAAGTATAGCTTCTGCTTTCTTATCATTGTGTCAGAGTTTAAGAACCATATGAAAAATGGCTTCCCACTCTCAGTCTGTCCTTTCACATGTGTAAACCTCATTGTGCCAAGACAAAGTATATTGTTAAGGGTCACACAGACAAGAGCCTCACCAGCTGTCTTGGCCTTCCTGGAATCCAGTCTTCCTTCTAATGGTAACAGCACAGCCCCTAGATTTTCTTTTTGGAGACCTCCCCTCCCCTACTTTCTCAGTGGGCATCTGGTATAAGGCAGCCCAACGAGAATGAACTTTGGGAGTTTTGAGGACTGACTGGGAAAGAGTACTTCTATTTTCACAAGCTTAATACACTGCTGGTGGCAATCTCTGCCACAGTGCAAGAAAAGACAGCTTGAGAATAAGAGTAACACATGAAAAAGGAAACGGGGATTTGAAATGAAGAGATGGAAGAGAAGAGAGACAGAGAGAAGTATGTGCAAGTCTGAGAGAAACTCCTGATGACAATGTTTGGACATTTGAATCCTGCCTGCTCCCGTTTTTTTTGTTTTGTTTTGTTTTTTTTAAAAATTAAGCCACATAACTAATGAATAGAATTTCAAGGGAGCTGATGTTCTAGAGGAAGGAAAGAAAAAAAAAAAAGCTTAGGATAGCAAAGAGAAGCAAGGAAGATGCCTGTTTTATCTCTAAGGCCTAAAATACGTGGAAGAAAAACATAGTTTAGGTGGGCCGCAGGGAGACAGCATGTGGTCTCAGGAGGCCCTGAGAGGAAAAGGGGGAAGAAAATGTTCAGAGAAGAGAATGAGACTTCAGGGACACGGCTGACTGAGAGCAGTTTGCTGAAGGGTTTAAAAGGCAGGAAGGAGGGGAAGAGGGTCAGAACAGGGAGTGTAGGGACAGCATGGGGACAAGCATCTGCATGAGAATGACTTGGGAAATACGGATTTCTACTGTTGACTGAGGGAAACAGGGACGTGAGATTGGAGCTGGTAGAAGTGGAGTCGCTGAATTCCTATCTTCTCTGCAAGGAGAATGAGCATCAGATTGGAAAGAGGAGAATACACAACGGTCTGATGGAACTGAAAGCCAAGACAGGGTCAGAAAGAGATACAGGAATACCTAGCTATCAGAAACAGCTCAAGTCTCCTTGTCAAGACAGATTATACCTCAGAATACAAAGGAAACCTGCAAACAAGGTCTCAGAGTCCCTGTTGCTGACAAGAAAGGCATCTAGTGAATAAGAGTTGATAGAAAAGACAGACAAACACTGTTCTAATTTTCAAAAAACTTTGAGAGCGATTGCCAAAAGCTACAGGCTGGTGATCTTGATGTCAATTCAGGTCAAAATTCTAGAACATGTTATCAAGTGGCTGTTTTGTGAGCTCTAAGAAGAGGAAATGATTATAGAGTTATCAAGAGTTCATAAAAACAAACCATCCATCTTAACATATTTCTTTCTTTGAAAGGATTACTAGACTGGCAAATAACAATATCTACCATTTACGAAAGGTCTATAGTGTACTAGGTACTTCACCTTGAATCCTAATAACCACCCAGCAAAGTAGATATTGTTCTCCTCATTATATAGAAAAATCTGAGGACCAGAGAAATTTAACTAATTTGCTGTAGTCATATAGCCAGAAGTAGGAGGAGAGAGGTTTCTATCATGGGGCAGTATCACTTTAGAGCCAATGCTCCACCCATCCCCTCTTGCTGCATTAGTCCTTGAACTTTTTGGAGTCACGTGACCAAGTCTTTTGCATCACCATATATAAAGGAGAGAAACATGGTCTGAAGAAGATTTGTTAACTAGTTGAACAAGAAGTGGTGATGAATGGATTCATGTCAGCCAAGAGGAAGGCTTCTAATGACATTCTGTAGGACTCTGTTCTTGCTCCTGACCTAGCTATTTTTATCAGTGAAATTGTACCTTAGTTTCCTTATCTCTAAAATGGAGTAACAGAAACTACCTTAAAGGATTGTTGTGAGGATTAAATTAGTTAATACTGTAAGACATTTATAAGACTGTCTAGCCCATCAGATATTTCAGGAACATCTCTAATAACAAATTCAGGGTCCAAAATAAACCACAAAAAATTGGGAGGAAACAAAAGCAACACACAGAGAGTGCTACATACATGCATGCACATGCATACATACACCATAAAAAAGTACAGGATCTATCAAACAAGAAAATAATGCATTAAAGAAATAATTCAGGTCAGGCATGGTGGCTCAAGTCTATAATCCCAGCATTTTGGGAGGCAATGGCAAAAGGATTGCCTGAGTCCAGGGGTTTGAGACTAGCCTGGACAACTTGGTGAGATCCCATCTCTATAATAAATTAAAAAATTAGCCCAGAGTAGTCCCGCTACTTGGAAGGCTGGGGTGGAAGGATCACCTGAGCCCACCAGGTCAAGGTTACAGCAGCTGTGACAGTGCCACTACACTCCAGCTTGGGCAACAGGTAAGACTCCAACTCAAAAGAAAAAAAAAAAAGAAATATTCGGAGAACAAAAAAGAGCTTTTGGAAATTGCTTTGATAAAAATTAAAAATTCTATAGAAGAGTTAAAAATAAGCTGGACGCAGTGCTCACGCAGTGCTCAAGCTTTTGGAAATTGCTTTGATAAAAATTAAAAATTCTATAGAAGAGTTAAAAATAAGCTGGACGCAGCACAGTACTTTGGGAAGCTGAGGCAGAAGATTGCTTGAGCCTAGGAGTTCAAGACCAGCCTAGGCAACATAATGAGACCTTGTCATTACAAAAAAATAAAAAAATTAGACAGGCGTGGTGGTGTATGCCTATAGTCCCAGCTAGCTACTCAGGAGGCTAAGGTAGAAGGATTATCTGAGCCCAGGAAGTCAAGGCTGTAGTGAGCTATGATTGTGCCAAGGTACTCCAGCCTGAGAGACAGAGTGAGACCCTGACTCAAAATAATGATAATGATAATAATAAAAGATAAAAGTGGGGAAATATCTTAAAAAGTAAAAAAAGAAAACAGAAAAGATAATGGAGGGCTAGCACCCAAATAACATTAATTACAGAAATAGCAAAAAAGAAAAAGAAAGTAAAAGATACAATACCAGAAATATTTCAAAATATTTATATCTTAAAAAGTAAAAAAGGAAAACAGAAAAGATAACGGAGGGCTAACACCCAAATAACATTAATTACAGGAATAGTAAAAAAGAAAAAGAAAGCAAAAGATACAATACCAGAAATATTTCAAAAAAAAAAAAAAAGTTAGAAGCAAAACAAACAAGTTTTTTTTTTTTTTTTTTTGAGTTGGAATCTCACTCCGTTGCCCAGGCTGGAGGGCAGTGGCACACTCATGGCCACCCCAGCGTCGGTGTGCTGGGCTCAGGTTATCCTTCTGCCTCAGCCTTCCAAGTAGCTGGAACTACAGGCATGCGCTACCAAGCCCAGCTAATTTTTTGATTTATTGTAGAGAGGAGGTCTCGCCAAGTTGCCCAGGCTGTTCTTGAACCCGGGGGCTCAGACAATCCACTCACCTCAGCCTTCCGAAGTGCTGGGATTACAGGTTTAAGCCACTGGCCAAGTAATAAGCTTTAAATGAACATCAAGGCCCAAATCCAGACTACTTATAAGGGAGAAACAGGAAGATAAAAGGTCTAGAAAGCAATTTCTATCAAGAGTTAAAAGACCTAATAACATTTAGCCTGAGGGAAAAAAAATTGAAGTCCTAGAAGTTATATATTGACTTCACAAGGATTAAAGTTACAGGAAGGTAAATTCTGACTCAGTATGAGAAATAATTTGTAACAAGTAGCATTTTCAAGACAGGGAATAAACTACCTTGTGAGATCATGAGTTCATGAGTTATTCAAGCAAATGTTGGCTAACCAATGAACAGGGATGGTTCTATATTGGAAGAAAAGGGACTATGAGTTTGCTATACTATAATATATAACCATAGGTTAAAAGCCTGTGAAGCCACAGTCTTACTTTGTTTTCAAAAGTAAGTAGTTGAAATATGTCATATATCTGAAATAATTTTTGTACCGTCACAATCTGTGCTGGCTTCTGGATGGGGCTTCTGTGTAGGCACATTCTCAGGTGCTGACAAAAGATCTTCTGATGTGCTAAGAACATCCTTCTTTTCCTCAGAGGTGTCCAGGTCCTTTAACATACTATGAAATTTAAAAAGTTAAACCAATTATCCTACAGACTAGACCAAATAAATGTATGATATATATCACCTTTCTACAGGTGGTCAGGCAATGTATAACAGACAAAAGAAATGATTTCCTATCTCCTCAATTGTAAACCTCTTCAGCTGGCCCTCGAAAATCTTCCATCTTCGGGTCCCAAGGGACTTTTTCAACTTTATCTCCAATTGTTTCCTTTCAGTAACACCAAGTTCCAATCACAACCACACTGCCTCACTTACATTCTTCATATGAGCCTTTCATTGTCTGTTTTAGAGATTCTGCCTCTGATCGTCTCTCAATTTGGAAAACCTGCCATTCCAGTCTCTTTTTACCCGAATCGCACCTATTAAAGGCCCAGCTCAAGCCTAACTTCTCCAGCAAGTGTTTATTAATGTATTTTTCTTCTGAGATTCCAAAGCACTTAATCTGGACTTTTTTTTTTTGAGCCAGGGTCTCACTCTGGCTTTTGATTTATTGTAGAGAGGAGGTCACGCCAAGTTGCCTGGGTTGCCTGGGTTGGTCTTGAACCCCTGAGCTCAGGCAATCCTCTCACCTCAGCCTCCCAAAGTGCTGAGATTTTCTTTTGAGTTGGAGTCTCACTCTGTCACCCAGGCTGGAGTGCAGTGGAGCTCACGGCCACCACAGCCTCTACCTGCTGGGCTCAGGCGATCCTTCTACCTCAGTCTTCCAAGTAGCTAGTAAGTACAGGCACACGCTACCATGCCCAGCTAATTTAAAAAAAAAAAATTTTTTTTTTTTTTTGAGTTGGAGTCTCACTCTGTCACCCAGACGGGAGCGCAGTGGCCGCACCCGGCCACCGCAGCCTCGACTTGCTGGGCTCCGGCGATCCTTCCGCCTCAGCCTTCCAAGTAGCCGGAATTACAGGCATGCGCTACCACGCCCGGCTGATTTTTTTTTTGATTTATTGTAGAGATGAGGTCTTGCTGCCCAGGCGGGTCTCGAACCCGCGGGCTCAGGCAATCCACTCACCTCAGCCGCCCAAAGGCACGGGATTACAGACTGAGCCACCGAGCCCGGCATAAAAAATTTATTGTAGACATGAGATCTCGCCAAGTTGCCCCAGCTGGTCTCGAACCCGTGGGCTCAGGCGATCCATTCGCCTCGGCCTCCCAAAGTGCTGGGATTACAGGCTGAGCCACCAACCCCAGCCAGTGCTGAAATTTTTAAAACAATAACATAATTCAAGAAAATGGCCATATTTTTAGTAGTGCTTTCTATATTGTTGGTTTGACTCCTAGACTCAATGAAGTTAAGGGTTACAGCAAGGGTATAACTGCGACTAGAAGATAGAGAGTTTTGAGGACCAGCTAAAGAGACTTTTGGAATAGAGGAATAGATGTCTCTTTTCTGTTACATATTGTGATCATTCAACTTCTGATATTCAGGGCTTACAATAGTATTTTCTTTTTATTTTAAAGACGTGGGGTATAATTTAGGAATAAGTATATAAGTGGACACCATACAGGTAAGTTTGGGCCTCCCTTTGGTCCCCACTTTGCCTGGTTTGAGGTCAGGTACCCTTATTGATGTTGTGTATCCACCCACCTCCAGTATTTTCTTTTAAATGAAATAAAATGTAGCATAAAATTTAGTGTGCACTGCACATAAGTATTATTTGTGAAAATTCTATTTCAGTTTTATAACACATATATATACATACACATACATATATATGTATGTGTATGTATATGTGTATATATATATATATATATATATATATATATATATATAGCAATGGAAAATATACAAAGAGCTGGGTGTGGTGACTCACACCTGTAATCCCAGCACTTTAACAGGCCCAGGCAGGAAAACTGCTTGAGCCTAGAAGTTCAAGGTCAGCCTGGGCAACATAGCAAGACTTTGTCTTTATAAAATATTTAAAAAAATAAGTTAGCCAGATATGGTGGCATGGGCCTGTTGTCCCAGTTGCTTGAGAAGCTAAGGCAGGAAGATTGCCTGAGCCCAGGAGGTAGAGGCTGTGGTGAGCTGTAACTGTGCCATAGTACTCCAGCCTGGACAGTGAGATTCAATTCAAAAAAATTTAAAAAATAACACAACGAGTCTATCCTAGAAATAACCTTATAATTAACCATTTTCCACTTTACCTGAAAATCTAGGTAAAGTTATTTATGGTATGACAACTCAATAAATTATGTAAGTATTAAAAAGAATAAAAATAAGTAGCAATTGGGAAATGTTTTAGAAATAGTGTTAAGAAAAAGAAGCAGAATATAAAATTATAGCTACATGTTGATTACAACAATGCAAAAACCAAACACATGTAGAGAAGGATCAAAGCCAAAAATGAATAAAGAAAATGTTTGGTTTGTTGGAACTGTGGGACTTCTCTTTTAAAATTTTTTTTGTTTTTTAGAGATTGGAGTTTTGCTATGTTGCCCAGGCTGGAGTGTAATGGTTATCCACAGACACAATCACAGCACACTATAGCCTCAAACTCCTAAGTTCAAGCCATACTCCTGCTTCAGCTGGGACTCCCGAGTAGTTAGGACTACAGGCTTGTGCTACCACACATTGCAGTATTCCTTCTCTTTTATTTAGAATCCTTGTTAGCTGGGCTCGGTGGCTCAGCCTGTAATCCCGCACCTTGGGAGGCTGAGGTGAGTGAA